TCTCTCTCTCTCTCTCTCCCTCCCTCCCTTCCTTTCTCTCTTCTTTCTCCATCTACGACAATCTCATCCAGAGCGAGAAACAACATTCAGATTTATTTTTTTTAAAAGGTAAACACAATCAAATTAACATTGGTGCTGCATACATCCCTTCCATTGACGCCAGGAGAGGCAGGAGAGATCTCTCGAGCAGCGCTCACATTTACAAAGGGTATACACACAAGATCAGCGTGAGCGGTGAGAGGACCCAGACTTTGCTCACATCCAGCTCTCACGGTAGTCCCGCCGGTGCATGTACACATTTCTGAGCACAAAGACAAGACTCTCCACCCGGCTCCGTTCATCAAAGGTTCCGATCATTGTCTGTCTGATTGTTGAGCCTCACACATCTGCCTCTCACAACCGCGCTCCCCAATATTCATATCATCAAAATTCAAGTGAGAAGAACCAGGGAGGTGATGAATTATTCACCGACAGGGACTCGGACCTGCCTGCTAGGGACGTCAGGACTGTCGACAACAATTGCGCCCCTCGGTGACCCATGTACCTTTTTTTTTTCTCTTTTTTTTTTTTTGGTAAGTGTTTTACGGCGCTCGCAATTGTATTAGGTCATATGAGTGCGCAGGACACATCATACATTTTCAGTAGGTAGGAAATTTTAAATTTTTCTCAGGTAGCGTCCGAAGCCTACTCTCATCGGTTTTAGACCACCAAGGGATCTTTAACGTGCGCAACTTGCACACGGAACCTCCGAGACTTTCCGCCTTGGTCCGAGAAGGCTAGGTGTAGATCTTTCCCACCAGAAGATCAGGGGTGTGGCTGAAAGACAGCAGTGAGAAGGAGCCCAGCAGCAGGAGTAGAAAGGCTGCAGAAAGAGTCAGGAGCCCAGAGGCGGGTGCAAAAGAGGTGAGGGGGTGGGAGCAGAAAGTGGACATGAAAGCAGACGACAGAACATTGATAGAGAGCAGGAAAGGAGGTGAAAGGAGACAATTTTATAGAAGAATATTTTTTTTCTCCGTTGCTACCCCTCGGTGACCCATTTCCTTTTCCTCCTCCACCTACGTATAGTCCTTCTTCTCCCCTTCTTCTCCTCCTCCTCTTCCTCCTCAACCTTCTCCTCCTCTTTCTCCTCCTCCTTCTACTACTACTAAATAACTACTACTACTCGTTGCGCCCATACTAAAGCTACTAGTACTACTACAAAAACAACAACAACAACTTCTATTACTACTACTACTACTACTACTACTACTACTACTACTACTACTACTACTACTA